TGCCGTGTAAATGGGGCTTACATCATGACCATTTCACTGATGTTCATCATCGCTCACCTTATTAATTAACATACTTGCACTAGGTCAAAGTAGTTGACCTGAGCTTTTTATTTTATTTGTTGTATTGCATCGCCGGTATAGGTAATATATTTCATTGTAAACACAACAATAAAATACATTCATACATTCAAAATCCAATATTAAAAATTTTAAAATTTAAATACTTCAAATACGGCACAAAGCTTGTTTAAGCCGTTTCCTCGTAACCAATTGGCCACAAAGGCACGATCTTTTCCACGAAAATCCTCTAACACCGCGTCCCCCATGATAGCTCGTCCCCGGAGCACGCCACGCCAAAGATTTTACATGAAATCGAGGGTGCAGTTCAAATTCCCCACCCCTAAAGCATGGGAATCAAATTCCCCACCCCTCTGATAATCAAATTCCCTCCTCCCCGGGACGGCAAAGGTGTCAAATGCCCGGGGTATGCCCGGGGGGGCATGCATGTTGAAGCTTTGACTTGACTGATACATAAGGAGTGGAAAGTGAAAGTCATGCATCGCGTATCGTATCAGCAATAAAAATTTACGATACCTTGGAAAGATCCGCCCTAAAAATTCATCGTAGAGTGTTTGTTTCTTGTAGCCGTGCTAAAGGTTGAAAGTTTTGCGGGTTGTTAACATTTTGTTCTGAAACTTCCCTCGAGAAAATGGCGATCGATGCGGAAAACTACGTCGTGTAAGAAAAAACAAGAGTCACCCGGCAGCTTCTCTTCGCTGATTGGCCAGAAAAAAATTTTTCTGGCCAATCAAAAGCAGGTAATTCAAACGCTTCTAGAACTGGTTCGGTAAGAGTAAGCGCCCAAAAGCGCCCAAAAGCGCCCAGGGGCTCGTCTCGGGGTAAGCGCTTATTTCCATACATCTCAAACCGCCCTCTCCCTTTTCACTAACACTTATATGAAATTTCTAAGTTTCTTGACTCAGAGACTTAGCTTCGGCTCAACAAATGTCGTCAAAGTGCAAGTCTCTTCAATTTTAAAAGAAAAAAAAACTTGCGTGTCATAAGCAGGTGTCGATCCCAGAGTTATTAAATCTGCAGTCTCCTGCCCTAACCACTACCCTGGGTTCCAGAGGATATTTTTTTCTTATCGACACTGATTTTTTTTGCGTTAACGCGGCTCCAGTATCGATAAGAAAAAAAAAATCCTCTGGAACCCAGGGTACCTAACCACTAGACCACCGGCCGGAATGCGACTCTTTTATCCTAAGAATTCGTTAGAATTTGTTTTTCAGAAGTCTCCGGACAGAAGTAAAAGGAAAATCGCTGATTTCGACAGTGTGTTTGACGAAGTCGCCTCCAAGCTGAGAGATGTGCACTTCACGCGATCTTGCAACAAATGATGCTTACTGAGCGAGCGTATTGCGCAAACTCCCAAAAAACTCCCCAAAATGCAAACAATGAACTGTTCAAACAATGCTTTTTCATGTCGAGCACCTCGTACGTCGAGTGTGAAGTGGAAAACTGCAGGACGCGGCGCCAGCGAAGAATCCTAAGAAGAATTTACAAGAAATTTTTATCTTAGACAAGGAACATGAAGTTTATAAAACGGTTCAAAACTTGCTGGCTACTCATTCGTCAAATATTTTCAAGCGAAGGTGAGTGAACAATTTTCTCGTGTTTTGTTTTTTACCTACTGTAAACGTCCATGCTTATCGCCTACCTGAACCTTTTTCGCACAATCTACCCGAAGGCGAAGAAAACATCGACCATTTTGACTATTTTTTTAATATGTTTTTATCAGGGACTTCTGAATCCCTGACATGACGACACCATGGAGATGATTTATTGCCTTTTTAAACATCTTTAATAACTATAAACTTAACAATGTTTGAAGCACACCTACCCATTGCCATTTCACCCGTTGGAATTAGTAGGCTAGCAGTCCGCCTTTTCTCCTAAAAGCCGTTGCAAACCACGTCGTAAATGGCGCTGAGGGCGGTAGTCCCATATGACATCGATTCCGATAGGGTTCGACACCGATGAGAATATATAGGTAATCGCATTTCGAGTGCAATTTGGAATAAATAAGCACAAGTAAATTTTTCAAAGACCAACAAAAGTGCACGAGCCCGTAGGGCGAGTTCACTTTGTGGTCTCTGAAAAATTTGCAAGTGCTTATTTCTTCCAAATTGAACGAGAAAAATCATGTGATTACTTATTACACGAAAAACATAAATTTCAACAACAGACTTTGACAGCGCGCGCGTTTTTAGTTCATTCAACGTGTACGTGTATAATAAAATAAATGTAAAAGGATTACAACTAATCAATTAATAACAAGCAATCTAAACTATAGTCTGCTACACAGCCGTTTTTAGTGTCGTCACGCAACGCTCCTCCCCACTAACGGCTGCTGAAAACCGAACTACATTCCTTTCCCGTGATTAGCCTATTATGATTCAGCTCCCATTTTCTGGAAAGTGTTCGCGCCACGTTTGCG